CACCAAGCTGAAACAACAACAAGCGTCCTGCAGACTGCAGAGACCTCATGGCCTGAAGGTAAGGGCCGGCCAAGTCACTGTGGCCAATGTCAACCCCCTCCTTGCACTTCTCCTCCAGCCACCTGCAGGGAGGGCCGGAGTGAATCAGCGTAGACAGCGAATGGAACCAGAACTGGGCTTCCACCTTGGCCGAGGCATCCGAACTTCCGAAGCCTGCCCTCGTAGGCCGCCAAGGTATAGTATTCAGGAAGGACGGCAAAGTGATGCTTGCACCTCGCAGTAACGAGACGGAAGGAAGTCACCTTTCCAACCAGCCATCCACTGAACCTGAACAGAATCAAGCCACGGAAAAAAAACACGCAGACAACCGTGAGGTGACCTGTGGATGGACAAAACCCACGCCGACCGGCACCACATGAGATGGGTCAACCCCAACAACCACGTGGATCTTGGCCATTCGATTGAGTGCATCTCCTAAGGCGTAATTGCCAGAAGTGTTCTGAGAATATTGGGGTAGCAAGGTTATGTAACAACCGTAGCAAAGACCAATAGCCACAGGGCCACAGGGAAAAAGGAGCTGGCTATTTCAGGGAGACTCATCAAACAAAAAACTTGAAAATCATGAGGTAGGGTTGCAAACCGGGCTCCTTACGTGCATGGCTTGGTGAAAAGGTTGGTGCAAAGGTGTTGCACAGCGAATTGAAGCACGAAAGGACATTGACTGTCCAATACAGAAATTGCGGGGATGAATTCTGTCCGAAAAGGCAAGCATCAAAATAGAAAGTCCATTGGAAATGAATCTCATCCTGAGAATTGACATCTTGCTGACAAGAATCATTACCAATACGTTGGCAACTCATTGTTGAATTTAAGCTGCCCAGCCACGATCGGGCGTTGCTTTTGTCTATGGAAGCAAGCTTGAGATCATGCATCTCATGGGTCTTGGACCAATGAAGAATACGTGTGTGACCAGGCAAGCCAATCGTGCCTTGGATCCATAACCTTATCAATGACGACCAGAGAGATGCTGCATACTCAAACGGAAATGTGATTTGTTTTGAATGGAGAATTCTCGCCATGTTCTGAATGAGTGTTCTCTAGGGTTTTGTGGCATTGCGCTCGTAGTGATACACGCTCACTGCAAGGAAAGGAAGGCCGGCTCTGTACACGTATGAACGGCTGACGTCACCCTTGGTCTCCTCTTTTGAGAACAGGTTTGGCGACGTGCGCCTGCATTCTGCAATCGAGGTAATAAGAAACACGGCCTTCATGGAAGGGTGGAATCTCTGTAACGCCAGATGTACAGGTGTGACACGCGAGAGTGCTTGCCACGCGTAAGAACGCCGATCTGGATTCGTGTACAGGTGCCTTAGCGTCCTGAGAGTCGGAAAGAATGCGCTCTAAAGGACGAAGCAACCAACACCTTTTGCTCCTCCTTGAGCACGATACCGGTATGCATCGTCATCGTGGACGACTGAGTTGACTATCCCACCTACTTCCTGGACGCTAATCACATGGCGCAGAAGGACAAGGACTGCTTCTGCCAGGTCACCTTCCTTGCTGTTGCCAGGACAAACTGGCGGCGGTAGGACGCCGAGTCTTTGTGTGGAGGTCTGTGCAGCTGAGAGTTCATCAGCCGTTCGGATCTTCTGTGGACTGAAGAATATGCTGAAGAATAAAAAGATGGGCCTTCTTCTTCGCGACGGGATCATAACCTGCAAGTTTGAGAAGTCCTTCTGCGTCAGGATGGCCTTAGGTTTCATCTCGCCACCTGTGCTCTATCTAGGAGACTCTTTGGGAGGCGGTTCCGGATTCGGACTTGGTACAAATGCCAGGGCTACTCTGGCCCTGGACGACTCAATTAGGGCTGCTATAAGCACAAGTCCTTGAAGGCCAACATAGGATCTCAACTTGACATGCGCCGAAAAAGACAATGCAATGGATCCATCTCTTCCTCCAGGAAGTGGTTTGCCAAGTGAATCTTCTCCTGAATGTGCAGGATCAGTTGTGCTACTGTCCACATGCGAACATGCTGCAGCATGTTTGGATCTCTGTTGTGCACGCGAGCGAGCTCTTCCCATGACGTGCTGTAGGAATACCAAGGTGGCCATGAAAACCATAAACCGTAGGAACAATCTTCATACGCCAAGTCGTAGGCGACTACAATTGCAAAAGAATCTTGTGAAGTTTGCTCACGAATGTGGGGTAGTCCTGTAGGAAATCACTCCTGTCACCAACATGTGGCGACATTTTGAAGAACTGGACCAGGAACACCTCCATCAGGATCTCGGCAATCATGTTGAGCGCTTGGTTTGTATGCGCGGTCTGGCCTCTCGTTCTTTATGTCGTGACATTCGTGGTAATACGCCGTAACAGTGACGTTGAAGTGAATGAATGTTTGGGGGAAAACCTGCTGGTTGTGTTGAAGGGGGTCTCTGAGGTGAATAGGTTGCACCAGTTGCAGCATTCGCCGCGTGGTCGCAAAAGATTGTGGCACACTAGTCAAGCGAACTTGCTTTCAAAATGGCAGCCGAGGCAGACGCAACTTTCTTTGATGAACGGTTTAACAGTTCTGGAATATTCATGCATTGCTACACCAGGCAACGGAAATACAGAGCTTCACGGCTTGTCTTGGCAAACTTCTTCAAGTTAAATCGGTCGTCCGAGGACAAGAACGACTGGTTTTTGTTGGTCAGAGGATCCAACGAAAAACCGATCGCAAGCACGGAGGTTACATCAATGTTCATCAAAACGTTGTACTCGGTGAGAGGGAAGATCAGCGACATGAAGAGACATAACACCATAAACTTGTCTGCCTTGGGCATTGTTGCCCATTGTTGCTGAGACTGGATCCAGGAGATAATCAATGGCTCCTTCGAAGTCAAACCCATTCTGGCGGGCAGTGGGGCTCCTAGTTTGGATTCTTGTAATACACATAAGTGCAGTGGTCCGCACGGGTCCACAAGGCCATAGGACCTTCGCGCTGAATCAGGGATGTTCCAGCATCTGAACCATTACTTCTGGTAGCCGTTGTGTTGGTAGAGCTGCTCGTGATTTAAGTTTTGAATGTAACATCATTGGACTTAAAAATACTGACATCAACGAAGGTACTTTGAATTGGGACTATACACAGTTTGAAAGAAACCACCTTGACTGTATTTGGAGTTCTCCACCGTGTATAGAGCGCAGCAGAGCCAAAACAACTGGAGCAAGAAACATTGGATAGGCTAACGCTATTGTATGGACAACCACTGAAGTCAGAAACAAGTTGAACCCGATGTGTTTCGCAGTCGGAAACCCGCAAACTGGACTATTGAATCAACAGGACTTTATGAAAGGTTTCGATCATATTGATACTGATTCTTGCAATATGGGTTAGTTGCGTCAAAATAACGAGACCATGGGCGAACATGAAAAGTTGGAAACCGGACCATTATTCAAGAAAGACTACGGGAAAGTTGGAAATATTCAACATATTGGAGCAGCGCAACAGGTGCCGTCAGGTGAGAAATCGGAATAGGAGGAAAACTATGCGAAGCATAGGCAAAATATTTTTCAACATCCCGAGTGAGTTGATTAGTGAGTTGTTGGTGGGTGTTACGTAAAGTCTGTGGCATGGTTTGTTGTTTGGTTTTTGTGTGATGTTGTTCGGGGGTGTTTCTTGTGGCAGATGCCTACAACCCATCTCGTGTTGCGGTTTTGATACGGATGTTTTAGGAGGCAGTTCTAAAACCGTTTAATAAGCCTAGGGGGGCCCATCAAGTATGCTGGGTTGCTAGCCACTGCTTGCTGCCAGAGAGGGGTTGCTGTGCAGCCTCATGATGCTAGCGTGTGGAAGTAGGCAACTCAGTTTGAACCAGCCAAAAAACTCCAAAACAGACAGCCCGTTTTTGAAGCAACTTGAGGCTTGCCGGGCAAAGCGCATGGACTTCGACTCCTTCCTCAAGCCCCCGGTGGTGAGGCTCCAGCGGCTCCATCTGCTCACCTCCGCGGAGCTTTTTGTCTTTTTGCCTGGAAAAATGCGTGGAACATATTTTTCAGTGATCGATTCGGTGCCAAAACCACAAGGAAAAATGAAAATCTTCACTTCAGCAAATGGATCGGAGGACTTTCAGGAGCTGGTTGTTCGGCGTCGCCAGAGTACTGTAATCTGGCGGCGTCCATGGAAACGATCTTTGCGTTCAAGAAACTGAAGGACCCCTGACTGGGGGTTTGGGGGGTTCCTTTTTGACCCAGTGAGTGGAGAGAGGTGGATGTCTAAAACAGGTGGGGAGGAGGACTTGGGTTCACTTGAGCAAGAATCTTGGAGGGAGATTCGATAGTCACCCAACCTTTGAACATACAGGGCAACAGTACTGAAAGGAAATGCAATCGGGATCTAGGAAGATAGGTGTATCACCAACCCTGTGAACCCTGTGAACTTCGAGCATGGTGAAAGCCGGTTTGGGCCCAGATAACTTCACACGCAAAGCTTTGCACCAAGTTAGATCAAGTCTCGTGGAAGAAAGGACACAGGCAGTGTGGGAAGAAAGAAGCCGCAAGAACAAAAACGCTAAGGAATGAGCCACGCTTCAGCAAACGAACGGCTGATGACAGTGCAAGCGCATGAGTGGGGTGTAAGAGAGCAGTGGCAGACTAAGCCGAGAGTGAGTAAACGTGAATGGGTGCGAGCGAGAAGCCATCTCCAAAGTTCGCGCCTGGCACGCAAAACTAGGCCCCCAAGCGCGCTCAACAACATCCCGTCCCTGTAGTAGCTGCCCAATGCTGACTCTGCCACGTAAGCACACACCCAGATGCGAAGCCTGCAAGCCATCTCCAAAGTGCTGCGCCTGTCGCGCAAAACGGGTTCCTTTGGTTTCGTCACACTTTGTCTCGATCCCCTTGGGTTTTTTCCGAGGTTTCAAGACACGAAAGACGAAAGCCATGCTGTTGAACAATCCCGTGCAGGTGCCAGACGCTGCCCCTGCCACGCCAGCCGCACTCTTCACAACGAGTCCTTTTAGACAGCTACCAAGATCTGCCCCTGCCACGCAAGCACACACCCACATACAGAAAATACTGCGCCTGCCACGAAATCTGCAAGACATGTCAAAAGCTGCGCACGCAAAACGGGGCCCCCAGCCGCGCGCGTGACAACACCCGATCCTGTTAGACAGCTGCCAAATGCTGCCCCTGCCACGCAAACACACACGCAAATGCAGGAAATGTTGCGCCTGCCACGAAACCTGCAAGCTCCAATGGCGCCGCGCCTGTCACGCATCTCCAAAGTGCTGCGCCTGTCACGACACACGGGGCCCCCAACCGCGCTTGACAACATCGAGAATACCTTGCTGCCACGCCCACATTCAGGAAGTGCTGCGTTTGCCACGAAATTTTGCAAGCCATCTCCAAAGCGCCGCGCCATTTTAAGAATATCGACTCCCTGTTGACAGCTACAAAAGGCTGTCACGCCGCGCAAACGTACACCCAAACGCAGGAAATGCTCCGCCTGCCGTGAAATCTGCAAGCCATCTCCAAAGTGCTGCGCCTGTCACGCGAACGGGGCCCTCAGCCGCGCACCCTGCAACATCCAGCTTTTTGGAGAGCTGTCCCGGCCACGAGACCTGCAAGCCATCTCCAAAGTGCCGCGCCTGTCAGGCCCGCGTGCTCGACAACGTCCTGAGGGCCTGACACGCGCAGCGCTTTTGAGATGGCTTACAGATTTCACGGCAGGCGCAGCATTTCCTGCATCTGTCTAAAGCACTCGATGTTCTCGAGCGCGCGGCTGAGGGCCGCGTTTTGTCAGCACTTTGGACAGGGACTCGCTGCCGAGGGCTCCGTTTTGCGTGACAGGCGCGGCACTTTGGAGACGGCATGTCAAAATTTTGCATGGCTACCAATTGCTTCCCCTGCCACGCAAAAACCACGCCCAGATGCGGGCGCTGCGCCTGTCACACAAAGCGGGGCCCTCAGCCGCGGGCTCGACAACATCGAGCCCTTTGGACAGCTACCAAATGCCGTCCATGCCACGCAAACGTAAATCCGACGCAGCCATCTCCAAAGTGCTGCGTCTGTGCCGCAACACGGGGCCCGCACGCAGATGCAGGAAATGCTGCGCTTGCCACAAAATCTGCAAGCTACGCTGCGTCTGCCACGCAGAACGGGGCCCTCAGCCGCCCGCTCGACAACATTGAGCCGCTTCAGACAGCTACCTAATGATGTCCCTGCCACGCAAACGTACACCCAAATGAGCCAGTGAGAGTGAGTAAGTGTGAGTGAGAGTGAGTGAGAGTGAGAGTGAGAGTGGGTGAGAGAGTGAGTGAGTGAGTGAGTGAGTGAGTGAGCGAGTGAGTGGGTGGGTGGGTGGGTGGGCGGGTGGGTGGGTCGGTGAGTGAGTGAGTGAGTCAGTCAGTCAGGCAGTGAGTGAGTGAGTGAGTGAGTGGGTGGGTGGGTGGGTGGGTGGGTGGGTGGGTGAGTGAGTGCGTGAGTGAGTGAGTGACTGAGTGAGTGAGTGAGGGAGGGAGCGAGTGAGCGTCAGTGAGAGTGAGAGTGAGAGTGAGTGAGCGTCAGTGAGGGTGAGTGAGTGAGTGAGTGAGTGAGTGGAGTGGAGTGGAGTGGAGTGGAGTGGAGTGGAGTGGAGTGGAGTGGAGTGGAGTGGAGTGGAGTGGAGTGGAGTGGAGTGGAGTGGAGTGGAGTGAGCGGAGTGAGTGGAGAGTAGGTAAAGTGGGTAAAGTGAGTGGAGTGGAGTGGAGTGGAGTGGAGTGGAGTGGAGTGGAGTGGAGTGGAGTGGAGTGGAGTGGAGTGGAGTGGGGTGGGGTGGAGTGGAGTGGAGTGGAGTGGAGTGGAGTGGAGTGGTGTGGAGTGGAGTGGTGAGTGGAGTGGAGTGGAGTGGAGTGGAGTGAGTGAGTGAGTGAGTGTGAGAGTGAGTGAGTGAGTCAGTGAGAGTGAGTGAGTGAGTGAGTGAGTGAGTGAGTGAGTGAGTGAGTGAGTGAGTGAGTGAGTGAGTGAGTGAGTGAGTGAGTGAGTGAGTGAGTGAGTGAGTGAGTGAGTGAGTGAGTGAGTGAGTGAGTGAGTGAGTGAGTGAGTGAGTGGGCGTCAGTGAGCGTCAGTGAGCGTCAGTGAGCGTCAGTGAGTGAGTGGAGTGGAGTGGCGTGGAGTGGAGTGGAGTGGAGTGGAGTGGAGTGCAGCGGAGTGGAGCGGAGTGGAGTAGAGTGGAGTGGAGGGGAGTGGAGTGGAGTGCAGTGGAGTGGAGTGAGTGGAGTGAGTGAGTGAGTGGGTGGGTGGGTGAGTGAGTGAATGAGTGGGTGAGTGCGTGAGCGAGCGAGCGAGCGAGCGTGAGATGCAGAAAATCCGCCTGCCGCCAAATGCAGTCAAATTTGCCCCTGCCACGTAAGCACACACCCAGATGCGAAGCCTGCAAGCCATCTCCAAAGTGCTGCGCCTGTCGCGCAAAACGGGTTCCTTTAGTTTCGTCACACTTTGTCTCGATCCCCTTGGGTTTTTTCCGAGATTTCAAGACACGAAAGACGAAAGACTAGGGAGCCCCATGCTGTTGAACAATCCCGTGCAGGTGCCAGACGCTGCCCCTGCCACGCCAGCCGCACTCTTCACAACGAGTCCTTTTAGACAGCTACCAAGATCTGCCCCTGCCACGCAAGCACACACCCACATACAGAGAATACTGCGCCTGCCACGAAATCTGCAAGACATGTCAAAAGCTGCGCACGCAAAACGGGGCCCCCAGCCGCGCGCGTGACAACACCCGATCCTGTTAGACAGCTGCCAAATGCTGCCCCTGCCACGCAAACACACACGCAAATGCAGGAAATGTTGCGCCTGCCACGAAACCTGCAAGCTCCAATGGCGCCGCGCCTGTCACGCATCTCCAAAGTGCTGCGCTTGTCACGACACACGGGGCCCCCAACCGCGCTTGACAACATCGAGAATACCTTCCTGCCACGCCCACATTCAGGAAGTGCTGCGCCTGCCACGAAATTTTGCAAGCCATCTCCAAAGCGCCGCGCCATTTTAAGAATATCGACTCCCTGTTGACAGCTACAAAGGCTGTCACGCCGCTCATTAGCTTCCGAGGCCTGTGGCTTGGATTGGCCCCGGTTTTCAGCCAAATGGGGAAGGCACCTCTCGTCCAAGCCAAACCGTGTGATCGCCTAACAGGAAGTGGCAAAGGTGCAGGCTCCAGGGTCCACATTTGAGATGTCCTCTTTTCTTAACAACCCGCTTCAAATATTGCGCTAAACAAAAAACGCTGACCTGAAACTTGCGGCCTGCGCTGAAACGTTCAGACCGTCCATCAAACCACAGCTGGTGGTCAGCGTCTGATCGAGGTCAGACGACGTCCGCGCCGCCGAGACATGCGAGGCGTGGGCCAGAAGCATCGCGACGCGGCACCTCGCGGGTTTTGGGGGGAGGGAGGTGCTGCAGCCCTTGGGGCCAGAACGGACCTGGTGGGGTTCAAAAATGGACCTGTTTCTTGGCGGCCAATATCTCTCTTGTGCTTGTGCGAGCCTGCCTGCTGCCGCCTTCGCATGTCTGGCCCAAAGTGAGAACTTGCTAGCGGAGAGTCTTAATGTACCTCGAATTGGATTAGACTGTAGAGCCATGTTGATTCTTTGACTTTGCTGAGCTAGTGAGGGCTGCTTCAGCTCATATGGTTTCCTTGTGGCTTCCTATTGCTTCCTTCTCGTTTCCATTTCGTTTTCCAGGTTTTCTTAATCAGATCGATGATCAACCTCCAGTCATTGCCGAAGCTGGACCTCTGTCTTCGGAGGCCTTGCATTCCAAAAGTCAGCGGCCAGATTCCGGCGAAGCCGATGTGAAACAAAGCCAGGCCGAGAAACAGACCGCCTACCCTGGGTTACCCATTAGGGAGCTTAGGGGGAAGCCTGGAAATCATATTTTTGTTTTCAATCTGTTTTCAAGGGCAATTCTGGAATTTCAGAAAGCGGTTTTGGTTTCCTTCCGGCTTCCTCATGGTTTCAACTTGGTTTCCTTGTGGCTTCCTGTGGTTATGAAGCAAACCCAAGCCGAGAACAAAACAACCTACCCATACGGGAGTGTGGGCAAGTAGGCAGTGAGCGGGCCAGGTAGCAACAGCGCTGAGCCGAAGTTGCCCCGTGTGTATAATTTTTGGACTTTGTGTTCAGCCGGACTGCAGACCAGGCCGGATTAAATGTTCAAGCCCAATATGTCAGTAACTTCGGCCGCAAAGCGCTGGCCAAGGGCCAGCGATGGCGGGGGTCCGGGGAATGCTGATAATGCACGCAATGCCGTCCGTGGATGCAGCGTGCCAAAAAAATGTTTCTCGATGTTTTCCAAACTCAACCATCTAACAAGGATGACAGCATCCCCTTCAACTGCCCGAAAGATAGACTTCGAAAAGCACAAGAATGCTGAGGGTGTTTCGAAGCGACAGCCCTATACACGTGGGGAAAATCACATTTCCAAATTTGAGCACTTCCTTTGGTCGTCACTACATTTGCCCCCGCCAAGACCCCAAACCCAACATCGTTCAAAACAGAAAAACACCACCGGCAACTGCAAAAACAACAGCAACAGCAACAGCAACAGCAACAGCAAGAGCAACAGCAGCGGCAGCGGCAGCGGCAGCGTCAGCGGCAGCGGCAGCGGCAGCGGCAGCGGCAGCGGCAGCAGCAGCAGCAGCAGCACCAACACCACCACCACCACCACCACCACCACCACCACCAACAACAATAACAATAACAACAACAAACAACAACAAACAACAACAAACAACAACAAACAAACCCCAAACACACAACAAACAACAAACAACAAACAATCAAACAAAAAGCAAACAACAAACAACAAACAAACAAACCAACAAACAAACAAACACACAACAAACAAACAACCAACCAACCAAACAAACATCAGCAACCAACAACAACAACAAGAACAACAACAACAACGACGACGACAACAACAACAACAACAAACAACAACAAACAACAACAAACAACAAACAACAACAAACAACAACAAACAACAACAAACACCAACAAACAAACAACACACAACAAGCAACAAACAACAACAAACAACAAACAACAACAAACAACAACAAACAACAACAAACAACAACAAACAACAACAAACAACAACAAACAACAACAAACAACAACAAACAACAACAAACAACAACAACAACAACAACAACAACAACAACAACAACAACAACAACAACAACAACAACAACAACAACAACAACAACAACAACAACAACAACAACAACAACAACAACAACAACAACAACAACAACAACAACAACAACAACAACAACAACAACAACAACAACAACAACAACAACAACATCCAACAACAACCAACAACAACCAACAACAACCAACAACAACCAACAACAACCAACAACAACCAACAACAACCAACAACAACCAACAACAACCAACAACATCAACCAACAACAACCAACAACAACCAACAACAACCAACAACATCAACGAACAACAACAACCAACAACAACAACCAACAACAACAACCAACAACAACAAACAACGACAAACAACAACAACCAACAACAAACAACAACAACCAACAACAACAACAAACAACAACAAACAACAACAAACAACAACAAACAACAACCAACAACAACAAACAACAACCAACAACCAACAACCAACAACAAACAACAACCAACAACAACAAACAACAACCAACAACAACCAACAACAACCAACAACCACCACCAACAACCAACAACAACCAACAACAACCGACAACAACCAACAACAACCAACAACCACCACCAACAACCAACAACAACCAACAACAACCGACAACAATCAACAACAACAACCAACAACAACAACCAACAGCAACAACCAACAACAACAACCAACAACAACAACCAACAACAACAACCAACAACCAACAACAACAACAACAACAACAACAACAACAACAACAACAACAACAACAACAACAACAACAACAACAACAACAACAACAACAACAACAACAACAACAACAACAACAACAACAACAACAACAACAACAACAACAACAACAACAACCAACCAACAACAACAACAACAACAACAACAACAACAACAACAACAACAACAACAACAACAACAACAACAACAACAACAACAACAACAACAACAACAACAACAACAACAGCATGTCCAGAGAGGACTGGGTGTTTTCCACTTTGCAACTGGGTGTTTTGCTAGCTGGTGCTTCTGTACTGGCTTTGTGCCTTGTGCGGCCTCAAATCCACTACTGGAAGAAACAAATTTCAGAAATTGTGTTTGGCGCCGACTAGCAGGGGAAATGACGCCTTGAAGGAATCTCCCACACCTTATAATTAAACATGCTTCCCTCAAGCCCGAAGCCCCCAAATATCTACCAACCAGGCCCCTGCCCCCCCCCCAACTATGACGGAAGCAGCGCTATTCTCATACATTGGACCCAAGAGTGGTTGAAGTCAATCGCTTTGAGACTAGATTGTGCAATTACACACCTCTTGCATATAGCTGTGCCCTTGCACGTGTCTGGGCCGTGCAAGGAGGGAGCCCGTTCGAGCCAAATCCCATCAAACATAGGGCTCCCCTAGCATCTGTTTGGCCCTCTAACACTGCCAAATTTGGGGAAAGGTTTCGAGGTCACTTCAAACTTGTAGAAAAGGTTTAGCCCGACCGGAGGCCAAAGAAACAAATCACAGCGCCATGCGGCGTTCCACACGAATCAAGCCACGCGCGCAAAGAGCCCCAACTTCAGCCATCAGCCCAGACTCGCACAAGAGAAGCTGAGAAGCTCTCCTACAAGCCGCGCTGTAGCCTAACACAGCACGATGTGTTCATGAAGGTGGGTCTTGTCAAGGGTGCCTGCTCCCCTGCGCGCACTGACCCCAAACCCAGTTAGTCCTCACGTTGCAGGACCACGAAGCAAGTTCAAGGAGCGGTCAAGCATGTCAGTCATTGCTTCAAGGGGCGCACACGGTTGCTGGCCTACATGGGCAGCTGCAGGCTGGGCTGAGAGTCCAGTGGGGGAGGCCTGAGACAAAGAAGCTTCAAGGCAGGAAGCAGAGCAGGACACAAGAACGTACGCTACGATGTGTGAGAGGAGCGCGCAATTGTCGCGCTGATGCCCACATCCGAGTTTTCGCTGTGCATCAGTGTCCACTAGCCTGACCCAAATCATGACTGTTCCCTCGGTGGTGTTTATTGATGAAAGGGGCTACCAGTCAGAATGCGATCAACGTCTTTGTTCTGCCTGGCGGCCAACTTGGCTCAACCAGCCAACTCGGATTGGGCAAAGTGACGGGTTTTCCTGGCCAACTTGGCTCAACTAGCCAAATCCATTTCTCCCACATGACGCGATTTCCAGAAATCACATGATGAAGCCCAGCCAACTGCATTCAGCCAGCCAAGTTGCGCCCCAAAACCAACCACAACTCCTGACCCCCCCAGCCCATGTGAAATCGCGACGGGTTTTCCAGAAAACCAGTCACAAT